GGGGTTCACATTTTTTATATGAATATTCCATTGATGCAAAAAAAATAAAAAATCTATTTGAACATTGAAATGATGTCCAAAAATCTATTTGAATGCAGCTCTAATGCTCTAAAAATATATTCAAGCTTTCAAATGATGCCCAAAAAACAATTATAATGTTGGAATGATGCCCAAGAATCTATTCAAACATTTAATTGTACCCAAACATTGTATTGAATATGTGGAAGAACATGTGAAAAATTTTTGAATGTCCAGATATGGAAGAAAATAGATTTGCACATTTGATCTCACCTATTATGTAAAATTTCTTAACGCTAAAATTATTTAAATGTTTAATTATACAAAAAAAAAATCTAATTATGAGATCAAAACCAAGCACAGAAAACATTTGAAATGGGTAGAAATCTGTTTGAGCATTTGAAGGCACACATGATGTACTAAAATCTATTTAAACATTTGAATGGTACCCCAAAATTATTTAGAATGTTCATATCATGCACAAAAATCTATAAAAAAATGTACTGTATGAGGTACATAAAAGGATTTGAAATGCCCAGAAATATGAAGCAAAGCAATCAAAGTTTTCAATGTTAAAGCGATTGCCAAATATATATATAACAACAGACAGCAGAATGGAGTTATTAGAGATTAAGGATGTCTACAAAGTATATGTATGCAATGAATATAATGTTAAACATTCAGTATTGACTGTATAGCCGATGTGCGCGAGCTGATAAGCAGAGCACGCTGAGTGGATTGAGCGCGGCGGCGCATATGCGTGAGCTAGTCGAGTGAATATACCTTTCTCACAGACATCACTGGAAAGTTTGTAGTTCGGTTGGATATGTCAAAAACAAGTAAGTAAAACAATGCACAAGTTACTTAACGGTATGGAGAGAGAGAGAGAGCGCGCGCGCAATTATGTTGTGTTATCTTTGATGTTCACTCACTTAACACACACATCATTTGGATTAAAACTAAATCGTAAAATAGACAGACCATTTATAGGGGAATTCACTATAAACATCATTTATTTTCAACCTTAGGCATACACGACTTTCTGGCGAAAGTGAATCTAGCAGCCTGTGTGAAATGCGCTAGGCTGTACTTTTCTGCATCAGTACAAATACGTGCACGCGTTGCGCATGTTTTGCTTGCTTGAGTGTTTCTGCATTATATGAGTGGCTTTGGAATATAAATCGCAGCACGTTTCAGATGAAAAAAAACGCGACTTCCATTTCTGAAAATATCACAGTTAGGAGATTTGTAACTGCATTATTACAGCAAAGCGTGTGATTACAGTACTGAGCCGCTGCAATGGAGCAGCTCTAATGCTATTAAATTAAAGATGATGTACCATAGAGCAAAAAAATGAACAGTGAAAGTAACAAAACCTTGTAAAATACATTTTAATGGCATAATTAAGTGTGAAAATAACCGAAGAATATACAGTCAAACCTAAAATTATTCAGAGACCAGATATAATTTTTGATATTTTTTTACTTATCAAAGTTATCTAACATTATCAAGCTGAATTTTTCTGACTCCTTTTAACTCTGAGTTCTTGTTATATTTTATTACCATTTTCTAAACTATAGTGAATAAACTGTGATAATGTGAGAAATGTTGAAGGTGAAGGTGGTTTGACTGTATCTATTTGATAAATGAAAATTTTTTATTAATTTACCAGAAATAATGTTTATCAGAATAATTTAATGATGCTTTTGATTATTAACATTTAATGAAACCATTAAAATGGAATCCAAAAAATTAATGGAAAACACAGAATATAAAAATAAAAACTAAATGTGAGGGGGGAAAAAAGTATTTCATAGGGCCTTAAAAATGTATTTTTGTTGAACTTTTAATCGATTGCTGTTAAATTGTGTAAGTTTCGTGATTTCAATTAATTAGACATGCTTTTTAATTAATAAACTTTAATGTAACCATTAAAACAGAGTCTAGAAAAAATAAAAATGCAAAAAACTGAAAAAGATGGAATTTGGAAAAACATGAAAGGGAATTTGGGGAAAAAATACAACTGATTTCATAGGGCCCTACAAGCCAAATGAGAGAAAGGGAGAAAAAGGGATGAACAAGGTTGGATGGCGAGATAATGGCAGAAATTAGGAGGAAGGTGGTTGTTGAGGGGGATGTGGACATCTTCAAGGTCACGCTTTCGTGTTGAGATGAGCGATAGCCATGGAGGAAAATACCAGAGAGGCTTAGGGGTTGAGGAGATGGTAATTTCATGATAATGAAAAGAAAAATTATCTTTGTCTAACCCCCTCCCTTCATCCTCAAAGAGAGGTTTATTATGAATTACACCATTTGTGTTGTTGGTGTTGGTTAACTCTGATGATGTTAATTTGTAATTGTCAGCTGAAAATGAATCATTTTGTTGGATGACTTCACACCAGTTGTATAGACATTATTCATCCTGCTGCAGCTGACAAATTATCACTTCATCCCTCTTTTTTTTTCTTGTCCTCTTTTAATTTTTATTTTCACAAAAGACCTCTGAGCTTTGATGGGATAATCCTAGCCACTCATGTCTGAATGGAAACGCACAGATTGAGTAACCAGGAAAAATATCTCCCACTGGAAGCTCACATAAATATTAATATCTGTTTATTTATTAATTCATCCCAGAAAGCGTATTAGAGTTTGGGATTTTCTATTTTGAGGTGGTTTCGTATGTCATACACTTCCTGCATTAATATCTGTTTATTTATTAATTCATCCCAGAAAGCCTATTAGAGTTTGGGATTTTCTATTTTGAGGTGGTTTCGTATGTCATACACTTCCTGCATTTAGCTAACAATGATTGTGACAGCATTCAATCATCTGTCAGTATTCCATGAACTAGCCAAGCAACAAAAATGTTTATCTGCACAAAATGAGTTTGCTCATTTGTTTCCCCTCATCTCAAATGGTTGGCAGCTCTTCACTGGACATGGTGAACCTGCAAAAAACCTTTGGAAACAGTGGACAGTTTGCCACGTCTGTGAAAAGTTTGACAGCTGTGATAAATTTTGCATTGTTGCCAAAGTTTTGATGCACCACTGCCAGTAAAGAGCTGCTAATTTCTGCCAACTAATTTGCCACACATTAACCGTACGTTTGAAACAATTAAACTGTTTTTACAAGGGCCTGGGCTCAGTTCACTTCAGTTGAAGGACTGTTTCTGAATGCCTCTCTCTGCCTCTGTCAATGGCGCTGAGCTGAACATGTTTGCTTTGTCTGGTTTGGTCCCAGGACTGCCGGTGATGCAGGTGAAGATTGACATCTCCAGACAGCAGGTGGAGAAGATCTTCGGTCTGGACGATTACTGGTGTCAGTGTGTGGCCTGGAGCACTACAGGAACACAGAAGAGCCAAAAGGCATATGTGCGCATCGCCTGTGAGTTCAGCTCTGCTATCTTAGAACACCAACATTTTGACCGAATGCCGTCTTATAATCTGTGAGAGTGTGATAAATGTGAGCATAGTGGTTCTTAACTGGTAGGGAGGCTTCGCCAAAATGGTCTCAGGTCTGTATTGATCTGGATTGGAGGAAAAAAAAATTAATGCAAAAGCTAAATGCAAATAATAAACTGCAACTAATCATGCAGTGTAATGCAGATATAATAAGAAGATAATAAAGATACAGTTCCAAAATAAAGAAATATTTATATTACAGAGAGAGATGGTAATATTTTTTTATTTGGTAAAAAATACAGTAAAACCGTAATATTGTGAATAATATTAGCATTTAGAATAACTGTTAATTTTATTTTATTTTATTCTGTTTTAGTTTATTTTATTTTATTTTATAATTTATTCCTGTGATGGCGAAGATGAATTTTCTGCATCATTACTCCAGTCTTCCGTGTCACATGACTATTCAGAAATCATTCTAATATGCTGATTTGCTGCTCAAGAAACATTATTATTATTATCAATGTTGAAAACAGTTTTCGATTTTTGTAAAAACCATGTAGAAACTCCAAAAGGACACCAAAGAACCAAATGATATAAGGAGCCCATATAAGCACATATGAAAGAAAAAAAAATCAGAACTTTATAGTGTGTACAGTGCAACAGCAAAGAGCTTTTTTACATTTTAGAGAAGTCAAGTTGCGATACCAAACAGGACCACATGGAGATGCCAAAAAAAACCCTAAACCAATCGCCTGCTGACTGCATATATCTACTATAGTGCACGGATCCATTTCGTATAACTAAACACAGCAACATAAACATGGCAAATCAAAACATTATCGTGAATGTGTGTGGAAACAATGTGAATGTA